AATCAATATATGTATATATATATGTATAAATATACAATATCAATATATGTATATGTATTATATATATATGTATATATCTATTATATATATATAATATCAATATAATGTGTATATATATATATAATGAGATGAAATACGGGTTATGTATGGATTATAAATGTCAATGTCAAGCTGCAAAGAAATCCGTGGTCTAAAGCTGTCTCGCTTCAGCCAAAACCAAACACTATGCAAAAAGCAGAAACTGTTTGAATGATGACTACCAAATAGTGACTTTGGGAAAGATGATTTTCACTCAATATTCCACTATGACAGTCAATTTCATATTGGTTTCCACTCAACAAAGCGATCCAAATCGCGACTTGTCGTCGTTGAAACGATCTGATTTCCGGAGCCAACGCACCCACCGGCCTGTCCAATCATGGAAGGGCCTAGCTCGGGGCCACTTTCTATGTCATCTGAGTCGATTCTTCACCTGCTAAAAAAATGACTTTCTACCATGTCCAAAACCAAGACTCTTGACTATTGGTTTATTCCCAGCTTACCACAGGAAATCAGTAAACCCAGTAGAAGCGTTTCGCAAGATTTGGAAATCAAAACTCCCGAAAACGCCGGAAAGCGGATCCGCGGATGATTCACTGTCGACCTCTGAGACTCCCCACACTCCAGTCATGACTGAACTTGTGCTTGATGTGATTTGTGCAAGTGAACATGCAAAGAAATTTCAATCCACAACATTGAAAAACTTCAGATGCTTGTCCATTGCTTTGCAGCACGCGGACTGCGATCCATTTCATGGTTCTCAATCTGTGCTGATTGTAAAGTTCTGGTGTTGCGATGGGTGTCTTTTCTTGTTGCGTGGTGCTTCGCACATGGCGCGCAGGCTCCGCAACTATCGCTTGTGCACTATGAAAATGTCTCTGGTTACTCAATGCTTTTGTGGAATAGCCGGAATAGCCCATAGTAAGAGTTTGAACTAAGAGACGTGGCAATATGTTTGCTCTGCGCTGGGTTCATGCAAATGATTTGGCTTTTTGTCATGTCAAGATGCCACGCTGAGAAAACGGATTTGGACAGTGACACATGAGTTCTCCTTCAAACTGGTAAAACTAACACTGAACCCCAAAGAAGAAACCAAACTATCCACTCTTGCTTTCTTGGCCAGTTTTGCCTTTATGTTCCATCAAAAAACTTGGAGTCACCCAATCTACTAAGGAGGATGTCCTTCAAACCAGGTGGGGCAGCGGGACTTTTTTCCGGCTCCAAGAAAACGATCTTGGAAACTGTCCTGACCAAACACCAGGCGACAGAATCTGGTCAGCATGAGATGCTTGAAACTCTGGGAATGTGTCAACATCTTCGAAAGATCATGGGTTGCTGTTGGTATGGAGAGACAGACAGGGAATCATGAACCGCACAACTGAAAGCACATTAATCATCCGAAGATGTGTTGCTTTCACAAATGGGGGGTCCCACTCTGATTCAAGGCAAACATCTGAGCCAATTCCACACCTGCGCAGCCCCCAAATAATTTCTATGACATGCCTGTGGTCAGTTGAGGAATTTATCAGTGGACTCACAGCCGGGTTTCCCACTCTCAGCCTTGCAGTGCTGGCACAACCTGTAAGGATCCAGCAACAGGTACCGGAAAGTGCCGGTGAAACCCAGGAATTGCGGGAATGTAGGCTCTAACTCCTAGGCTCAAAGAGGCTTCTAATGCCTTCAAAACATAGAGCAGAACTTGTGTTGGGAAAATCATCAACACGCAGCAACATGAGAATTTCACATTTTATGCAGGAAAACCCTTCAACTAGCTCCAGACCTGAAAATTGGTTGAAGAGTTGCCATGGAATTGACAATAGATTGATCACCGACCGCTGAACCTCTCCACATGTCAAATCCTAAGACCAAAAATTGGCACTTCTGAAAAAGTTTTGAGTTGAGGTATAAGTATAAGGCTGCCCTTGCGACATGTATCTTGTCTACATTCTGAAGGAGTGGAAATGAAAAATAAAGATCTTGCTTGGAAACCTTTTCTACTTTCCAAACCAGTTGCACCTTGGAACATGGAAGCATATCTGTGAACGAACGATTGGGCGGGAGTCACTTGTGCATTTCACTTCCAGTCGAGGTAAGGAACAGATCATCTGCACTATTGTTGTACTCCAATTTCAAGCGGATGGCATGTGGGGATTGGAGACTTTCTTCGCAACGACCTGCCAAGGGAATAGAATCCTGTCCCTAAATGGAGTGAAGTCACCATCAATGGGCTGGTGGTTGCGTGGATTCATTTATACCATGGTTGTCTTTGAACTAATAAGCCTTGAAATACAACCAACCACTATAGGAATGAATCCACTAAGCAGCTTTGTCTGTTTCACTTCTGTTTTTGTGAGTCTGCACTCGTACGCACAACGGTGGATACTTAAGGTTGGTACAGGCAGACTCTCTACTTCAATGTGCGTCCCAGTTTGCATGTCGTCAATATTCATGGTGATACCCCAGGCGTATATGGATCCCCAATTATACTTATACATAGGTTCTTAAGCGCTTAAGATTCTGGAGGTGCACATCCATGTAGATTACTGAGGCGCAGCCTTTACTTTCCCAATGAACATTGTTAGGTGACACCGGTGACGCCGATTTCTCAGTGTGACTGTTTATTTTGTTGCTGATGGATTGCCGTGTCGCAGGGCTTGTCTCAAGGTTAGGTTTTCATCCCCATGGAAAACTGGTTCCGACTGTGCCTCCATGGGGTCTGGATTTTGGCCAAATACTACAAGTTATTGGTCGTGTCAACCCATCCCACAAGTATTGGTCACTTGCAATGACCATGCCAAATACGATCGAAAAAAGATGTGCAACGCCCAACAATCATTGGGATACCGCTGTCTACAAATTCTAATGAGAAACAAAAACTAGACAATTATCTAAAACGGGTATCTATAAAAGTGCATTATTCATGGGCCATATGGCTTTTCACCGGGTGATGTTTTTATCGCGATGCCGCTGCCGAGGATGGGTCCGTCGGTTCACATCCAGCCATGGCAAGGCACTGGACTGGGGTCTATCTCATTTCAGCACAAGGATCATCCCATAGATGATGAACCCTCTACAGCTAAGTTTAGCGTTTTTTCCCATTGATATATGGATTGTATATTTATGATGGTTTTGTGGTTATTGTGAAATCACCTACCAGTCAGAGAGAAAGAGAGAGAGTCGAGGGAGCTGTGAAAGTTGGAAACGGTGGCTGTGGTTCTGTCGCTTGCTATATCTGTTTCGTCAGAGAAGAGAAATAGACTGCGTTGTGTGATGTTTTCTTCCACATCCACATCACAGCCAACAGGGAAACGGTGAACTATTCGGTCCAATTAATTTCCAAGTGGCAGTCGTTTGGAATGGTTTTAGAACCATCATTCCCGCTGGAAAGGGCCTTGATGCCTGAACGTGTTGTGGGGGAAGAGACAAGCCGATTCTGGTCCGGTACCACCAGCCTTCCAATCTCACTTGGGTCAGGTTTAGTTTGGTAGGCGAAGGTAGTATAATGGTTGGCCATAAATGGCGTATTATACGTTTCCAATTTCCAGTTGCTTTCATATTATAAATTAATATATATATATATATATAAATGAAAAACAAACAACAATGCAAAGTATATATCATTCTGGTCCCCCAACAAAATATGATGTGCTAATAATGGTTGCCACCCAATTTTTTAAATTATCGTGTATGAACCTCTGGTTTTGGTACCTTCCACTTAAGTGGGAATCATAACCAGCAACAATAACAATTCGATCATGTTTTCACTTTTTGTGGTGCTGCAAAAACTCCTGCAGACGCCACGCGGCGAGGTTCCTTTGGAACCGCCCCGTGGCATCTACGTCTATCTTCCCCACAATTGGCCGCGGCCCTTGCCGCAGTGGTAGGGTAAACCAGTGCTGGTGGGGTCGGTTTAACCGACCCCACCTGAAGAAAGGTGTTGCCCTCAAAGACCTTTGGAACACGGGGCAGTGTGGATGCGAATACTCAGTACTTCGATTCACAAACAAGAGGAAAACAAAACAAAACACTTGTGATACTGAATTCTCAAGAACACGATGAAAACCAGCATTTATGACCACTCCCTTCCCTAGTCTCCGGCCACACTTGCTTCACAAAGAACACGTGTATTTCTATGCTTTTCAGGATCGCAGACACTGTATTTGCACTTGCACACACTTAGGAAACTCCTCTGACTCCTCTGCCAAACTTTACGAAAACCTCTGCCTTTGTTCGACCGAGGCACGGCTAGGGAATCCCATTGATCCAGTCAGAACCTCAGATTCACAGAAAAGCTATGGAAAAGTTTCCATCATATCTAAAGTTAGGTGCTGACAGTCAAACGTCTGATTTTGCCCAGTACACGGCATTTAAATGAACACTTTCTTTGCACGTTTCAGGTAAATGGTTTACTGTGTTCGTGAAAAGAATGTACATGAATGTACTATGGTCAAATAACGACCATTTTCTCCCAAATTTTTGAATGTGTTTGCATGTCAAGGACCGGCCCAAATTGATGCTGAGCTCCAAGACCAAAAGGATCCACCACTCCGCCAATGAGCACGGTCAAATATGTTACGCGGCTACACCACATGACCCCAGGTCCTGAGATCAGCTCTTGGAGATTGGGCATCTGCTTCGTGGCAGAAGCAAGGCCCGTGGGCATTGGATGGCAACATTGACAAAATATGACAAAATTTTACAGCAAAATTCATCAAAATTCTTCCGAGCTGCTTGAAAACGTACAGCGACATGATTGGTCTTAGCCTCCCGTTCCTGATCCTGCCCAAAGCATACATTTGACGTTCACAGATTCCTGAGATTTCCTGAAGACTTAAAGGGATTCAAGCAAAAGACTCAATTCCTAGCTTTCCGTCTCTATCCCTGGCTCCTGAGGCTTCCAATTGGAGCCGGTGGTCTGTGCCCAAGTGGCACGAACCATTCGCACAATGACCAGAATCAGTTCAGGATAGTTTAGGGCGGTACTGGAGGATAGACGAAAGAATCCTGAGTATGCAAAAGTCGAACTGTGCAGGTGAAATTCATTTTAGCACGCATTTGCACTCCTTGCCTGCTTGCAACACACTTGAAGGGACGAAACGTGGAAAAAAAACTTCTGCAAGGCATGTCAAGACAGCCTGTGAATCCTAAATCCAACCCTGAAACAGATTTCACAACCTGCATAATTTGTCACCTCTCAGCATGGAATACCAAGTGGCTCTATAAAGGACAAAACAAGTTGCCGCACGAGAACGGAGCAACCATCAAGCCGCTCCTGGTCCGTTGAGTCTTGCCGCAGGAAACGTAATCTAACTCAACCAAGGCAGCACAAAGTTTCTGATTCAGTCCCATTCCAATTTTCAAAAATATGTTGCTTTAGCCAACCCTACAGAGTCCTACAATGCATGAAACGCTTCCTCAAAGCCCATGCCTCTGTCCGCGAGGGCTTGGACATGTTCTCAATTTCAGGTTTGCCTCAGTTTCGCAGAACACTCAAGGCTACCAACCGCCAACAAGATGGCTACAAGTGTCAGCTATAGCATGTTACATCTCAGCTCTCTTCCATTCTCTTCCAATCACACAACTCCAACTGCAGACCGGCAACGCTTGGACACGAGGAAGGATAAAGTAGGTGGCGCGTCAGCCGTCTCCTGTGATCGTGATGAAATCTTCCAATTTCCAGTGATTTGTCGTGAGAAAAGTATAACTTCGATATCACTGACCCGGCTGCGTGACTCGCGCCTTGTTGTCGAACATGCCACCGACTGTTGAGGCTTTGGAGCTCACGAGGCAATTGCGTCCCAAATGCAAGGTGGGCAACTTGTCGAGGATCTAGCACATGGTCAAGACATTCGAAAACCCAGTTTGCTCGCTTTCTAGCCTTGCGCCCCCTCACCTCCTTCCTCTTCCCGCGTCTGACATGAACAATAAGTTTTTTTGATTTCTATCAAACAAACGTACATCTTTCAACTTTGCTCTAGCAAATTTCTCTTTACCAAACTCACCACAATCAAGTTTACCTCAATCAAACCTATCTCTACCGAGTTTCTCTCTATCAGATTTGTTTATCTCTATCAAACCCTGCTCTACCAAATTTATCTTTGCCAACCTTCTCTCCAACAATGCTGTCTCGGTCGGTGCCTCATCACTCGGTTCACTGCTCCTGGAAGCAATTTCAACGCTGCCATTTTGGCCATTGTGGCGTTTACTCAAAGGGCCAGTACGCGAACCCAATCTAACAACGCAGTGTCTGTACGGGAGTATTGGATAAACAGAAAATAATAAACTGGAGATTTTGAAGATTATGAGGTTTCAGCCTGTCAAATCAAAACAATCAATGAAGTGAAGGCAGGATGGGGCAATTTTGCACCAGAAAATACAAATCAGTGAAGACACATGTGATTGTGGAAATATGTATGTATATATATATATTTATTTATTTATTTCTTTAGTTAGTTAGTTAGTTGTTTATTTATCTGTTTTTGTCTATTTATTTCTTGTTACAAGTATTTGAATATTATGAATATATATATATATATATTATATATTATATATATAATATATATTATATATAATATATATTATATATAATATATATATAATATATAATATATATATAATATATATAATATAATATATATATATAATATATATAATATATATAATATATATAATATATATATAATATAACATATATATTATATATATAATATATATTATATATATTATATATTATATATATAATATATATAATATATATAATATATATAATATATATAATATATATAATATATATAATATATATAATATATATAATATATATATATAATATGTGTGTGTGTGCCTATGCCGAATTATCTGTTTTTTCTTGAGAAAAGAGTGATGCAAGCAAAAAACAGAAACCAATTTCGTACAAAAACTGTGCGTATCCCCTTCGGAACAGCCATGAACGGTACGCCTCGGAGAATCATCATCCGCATCCATGGCGAAAATTTGTGGCCCTTGAGTGGCCTCACTGGTTGGCTCGAACGTGGATCCCAAACCAAAGTCCAGGGCCTAAATATATCTAAATGTGCTGTTTTCTTCGTGTAACGAATCTGTTTGTGTTTTTGTATCTGCATTCGGTTCACAGTAATCACCTGTAGGCAATGCTTCAGCATCAGCTGTATCCATCAACGGAACAAAGCATCCACCTCTAAGCACAGCAACTTTAGGGACCTTCCCAGTGATCAATTCAGCTTGTTAAGTTTCTCATGATTTCCTCCAATAATGGGCTATCTGAAGCACAACATGTGGCTGGCGAACAGCAAGCATGGGAAGGCCAACAGCACTCTTTTTAGTTCTGGAACCTAGAAATTGGGAGCGCCAACCAAAAGAGAAGCACTTTGTCGACGCAAGGGCTGGTACAAACGTGTCAAGCGTTCCTTGATCTTCCTACTGGGAAAAGCTATCCTACAAGACGTTGCAGATTATGAAGGTGCCCAACTGTAAGGAAGGCACCAAGTGTTACAGCAAAAGTACCAGATAAAAACCCATCAACCCAACCCCAGCGTACCCCAGTTGGTACTCTTTAGCAGAAATTAGGAAAACTTGTGTACAACTTCTTGTTATCAGATCTCGCACAAAGAAAGATGCAAACAGTGGCAGCCAATAGCGTCAAGGTGCAGTGCCGCCACAGTACTCATCCTCGTAGCCCTGGCAGACGACCCATCTCGAGTTTTCTTGGCTGCAGTCCATGGTGAACCAACCTAAAGGAAATTTTGTCTATCAAATACGGGTAAAACAAGGGAGGACTTGTGCGTCATTGGGCTGGTTTGAGTTAAAAAGTCAACAGGAATCACGTGTAATGTGTAACATGCAACATTTGTCCGGGGGTTGCCCTAGAATTTCCCTAACTATCACTGATCCCATTCTGGAGTGCAAAGGTTAAAAATCACAAAGACCTTAGGCTCGAAGTAATGAACAACATCCAATGGTGTGGTACTTTGAATGATCTATTTTGCGAGGTCTACCAGATTTCTGACCCATATCACCATGGAGATTTCCCCCATCGGAAGATGACACGCCTATGACTTCCGTAAAATGATGCTGATATTTCTGCAACAGTTGAATGAAGGGAACCAAGACTAGTTGGTTGCGGGTTGAAGCTGCGAAGATGCTGGGATGATTCAAGGTTCTCTTGCCAAGCAGCACTGAAACAATGACAATGACCCATATAATGCGGTAGTCTCAAAAAAAGCAACTCCCATTTGGGGACGGTTTCAATCCCACCCCAAAAAAAATGATGACTTGGGGATGGTGCAAATGGCATTGGGTGAACCCCACATTGCAGTACATTACAAACAATGCTGTCTCGGCCGGTGCCTCATCACTCGGTTCACTGCTCCTGGAAGCAATTTCAACACTGCCATTTTGGCCATTGTGGCGTTTACTCAAAGGGCCAGTACGCGAACCCAATCTAACAACGCAGTGTCTCTACGGGGGTATTGGATAAACAGAAAATAATAAACTGGAGATTTTGAAGATTATGAGGTTTCAGCCTGTCAAATCAAAACAATCAATGAAGTGAAGGCAGGATGGGGCAATTTTACACCAGAAAATACAAATCAGTGAAGACACATGTGATTGTGGAAATATGTATGTGTATTTATTTATATCATATATATATATTCATTTATTTAGTTAGTTGCTTATTTATCTGTTTATGTGTCTATTTATCTGTTTATGTGTCTAATTATTTGTTTTTACAAGTATTTTAATATTATGTATATCTATCTGTGTGTGTGTGCCTATGCCGAATTATCTGTTTTTTGTTGAGAAAAGAGTGATGCAAGCAAAAAACAGAAACCAATTTCGTACAAAAACTGTGCGTATCCCCTTCGGAACAGCCATGAACGGTACGCCTCGGAGAATCATCATCCGCATCCATGGCGAAAATTTGTGGCCCTTGAGTGGCCTCACTGGTTGGCTCGAACGTGGATCCCAAACCAAAGTCCACGGCCTAAATATATCTAAATGTGCTGTTTTCTTCGTGTAACGAATCTGTTTGATGTGTTTTTGTATCTGCATTCGGTTCACAGTAATCACCTGTAGGCAATGCTTCAGCATCGGCTGTATCCATCAACGGAACAAAGCATCCACCACCTTCCCAGTGACCAATTCAGCTTGTCATTTTTCGAATGATTCCTCCGCCTCTTTAGCAGAATTCAGAAAACTCGTGCAAGACTTTTTGGTTTTTTGTTTCATCCTCACCTCGTTGCTTTAAGCGTTCAGTTTACAACAAAATCCCGAAAACCAAGTAAAATCACAGCAAGGTCATCTTGAGCCCCACACCTCTTGAGTTATGCGCATCATTTCGTTCTGCGATACGACGTTCCGAACAATTTTCCTGACATCCAATCACTGCTCTCATTCACATCACACTTCATGAATTAGATGAATTGAAAGCTTGGAATTTCTGCTTTCTCAACACTCTCAAGCTGTCCACAGTAACTCCTTAGCTCCCTAAACCTGCACAAAAAACGTCGCCCGTTTTTGGTCGCCTGAGTTTCAGCATAAAGGTATCATCCTGGCAGCGTTTCCTCAGGATCAGATTGAAGAGTCTGGTGGCATGCTGCTTGTTACCCTCTGGTAATTTAACGTAGCTATTGAAAATGGTGATTTATAGTGGATTTACCCATTAATAATGGTGATTTTCTATAGCTACGTTAGTTTACCAGAGGGTACATGTACTTACTGCCATCTAAGAAATACCAGAGTCTCAAGACAGCTTCAGTTGACCATTGCTCATTCTCAAATGGAAAAACAGAAGCTGTTGCCCCGCCAAGAGACTTCACGTCCTCCACAATCATTCGAATTGATAAATCCCATTTGATCGCCTCGGAGCAACGCTGCAACTGGTGCCACTGGAATTCCAGGTTTCTACCATCCTTAGACAGGTGAAACTTGAATCGGTGTCATGCTGCCCAGTATCCCAGAGCAAAACAGGATTTGGATGAGGCAATGGAACCAGCTGTTCCTTCCGTCGGCGACCTAAAAAAGGTCGCCTCGATGTTTTTTTGGAACCATTAAACTCATTAAACATAGCCCATATCCTGTCATAGTCCTTATTTTCGCTTATCATCACTTATCATAATAATAACCCCCAATAAACCAGTTGGTACCAGCCCCAAACCCAACCAAACCACCGGCGTATGTTCAATGGTTCGATCTGGAGAGTAACTCAAATAGCATCCAATCCGCAACCCCTCGAAGCAGCGCTTCAACTGGTGCCGAGCAACTGAAAATACAACCTTAGCACCAAGTGCACCAAGTGCACCAAGTGCACCAAGTGCACCAAGTGCATGAGCAACATCACGAGCAACATCCAGCTGACGCTTCATACGCTTCATTTTTCTATTATTCAAGAATTTGATTTTGGCAAGATTTGATGATTTTGATGATTTTGTCTAATTCCTCACACAATGCGAAATCAGTACAAACTGCAAAGAAGTAGCTCCTTTGCGCCAATCGAGAAAGGCTCTCCACAAACTGTACAGTAGCAGCAGTGCAATCAGCATCAGCTGCAAAACGATGGAAACGATCATCAAATCATGGCCTCAGGAGCACATTGAATCCTTTTGCTGACTGAAACAAACCTGCCAATTCTTCAGGCATTGCCAAGATGCAAAAAGGGAAGAGTGACATGGACTCCATGGACTCGCCCTTCACCAACAAGCGAATCCTTGGATGCCAACGCTGTGAAAAACACTCGCAGGACCACAATTGGGATGCTTGCCATAAGTTGTCGTCAGTTGTGCCAACGGCAGCATGTCACATAACTTCTGCGCCCTAAATTCAGACATGTGGCCAGCAGGCCAGCATTAGAGTGCACAGTGCATGGTTAGCATGGTTCCAGTTCGCTTAAATTTTCCAACAAAAAAAATTAAAACCCAAATGGATTGATGCAAGCGTCGGAAGGTACATGGCTCCAGCTAGCAAAACCGAAAAAATATTTTCGAGTGATGGTTGCAAGAATGATAGATAAAAAATGTGTCTAACAACCCACACTACGAAGATGAAAACAAATGAGGCACGGATGAGAGGAACCGGAAATCATTCAATGATTTCTGTGTTTTGTTTTGAAGTTGTTGAAACTCATGAATTGGACGTGTAGCATGAAATGGCATACATATGATATTTTGTGCAAACATGCAATCGAAATGACAAGCACCTCCACACATGGAAACTGACTGCAGCCAAACTCTCCGCGGGGGAAATTCAGTGAGTCCGGCATGTTGAACAGAAAAGGGCACAAGTGGCCCAGTAAATCAAATGGGCCATAATGGGCCATCAAAATCAATCAAATGTATGGTTGAAGAACGGTTGAAGTGGTATGACCCGCTATTTACCAGTTTTCATCTCCAGGGTACTTCCAATCTCCAGGTTACTTCAATGGAATCGTATACATGCAACTGTACAAATTTGATATTTGCCGATGCAATTAAATGGATTCAAAGAATGCAAAAAATCAATACAGCAAGACTGTGTGGCAGTTGTTTAGGGTTTTTGCATGTTCTTCCATCTTTTCTCCTTTAGGTGCCATTATCCTTTCAACCGCCTTGTGTAAGTTTGGAACTCTAAAACCACACAACGTTTTCTCCAACGGCATCCTTCCCCTGCCCTAGAACAGTTGCAAAACCCTACCACGAGACTACGCAAATTCACCCTTGGGGGTACCCCACTTGTCCACTCAACCTGTTTGTTTTCCTCTAACGGAACGCACTTCACATACTATGAACAAACACTACACTGGTGAAACTCGTCAAATTTATGCACATGAACGTCATCACATCCCTCCAAGAGGTAAACAACAGACGGACATGAGTAGCACCTGCGCTTGGTGTGGGCGAGCCATTGCCTTTACCACCCCACTGCAGGTCTCATGACAGGCCACCAAACCAGGGACGACTTGTCGTGTGCCTTTCCTACCCGGTGTTGTTTTTCAATTATTTTAAATTGTCACGGCAATTTTGATTTTGAATGATGCCCACGTCATGGTTCGTCTTCCTCACTGTCTGTATCCGGTTTCTTTCCTTATGGTGGTAAGCACAGCATATACGCTTGAAAATAAACCCAGGTGGTGTTCCATGTATTTTTTTTCTGGAACCAAAAGCGCCTGAAGATTCGAAACCAATTACGTTTTTTGATTTGTGCTATGAATGCACACAAGTGTACAACTGCTATATGCTAAAACGATCCAAAACTGGGATGATTACACATGCGGAAATATTCAGAACCCTGCTTGGATACCAGTTTTTAGCTAGATATCACTTTGCACTCCGCGGGAATCATCACAGTCCATCAGATCTCCTGTATTGGAACAATTATTGGTTTGGTGGAAAGCTGGCAGCAAAGCCGAGTCGCAGATTTTGTTTCTGCAATCTGAATCGTTTCTATCGTTGCCACCTTCGCTCAGTTTCCAACAAAAGTTTTGTTGGCTCTCAACATCGTCATTCTCATCGGACAAATCTGCTCCATAGTGCACCAACGTCCACTCGTCTGGGTCGGACGCTTCGCACATTTCATCGCGCGTGTACCTGGCGTGTTTCTCATTTTTTCTTTCAGCAGGTCCGCTCATGCTGTCGTCATCACTTGGTGGCCGCGGTTTGGATGCGAAAATGATCGAAGGAAATTTAGAAGTCAAACTTCCGACAATATGGACAGATGAAAAGCAGAGACGGGAAGAGTCAGAGACGAGAAGAGAAGAGAAAAGAAGAGAAGAAGAAAGAAGACCAAAAAGAGAAAGTCTCCGAAGAAAGAAAATCCAGGCGCGCGAAAAGGTAGGAAAGTCGCGAAACACTGTGTTTTTCCATGGTTTGTGGCTCCGGAGGGTCGAAAAGTAGGCTAGTTTTATTTCTGTGTGCCACTTGGCTGCACACTTGTGACGCAGGGAAACCTTTTCAATCTTGATCTGAAACTGCGAACTTCTACCATGTCTTATAGATACTCTGAATGATACGACTAGTGCAAATGTCACAGCACAATCCGATCGCCGCAAGCTCTCTTTTTTTCGAGTGGGGATTGCATCGCTGAGCTGGTCGCGCACTGGCTTTGGGTAGGCCAGGTGCGTCTAACTCGACATCAAAAAATTTCAGGATAACATGATCCATGTCACGCTGGGAATCTTCCTGTCTCCAGATAAATCTGAAGTAAAGTGCTACGGATGACCAGCGTCAAATTGGCTTCATACTCCTGCATTGATTCAAGGGCACGGAGTTGAAGCTCAAGCGCCCGGTGAAGCACAATTTTGCATCCGTGAGGAAAAATGGAACATCTTCGTGAAGTTGCGCTAACTGATGCGTTTGGCCCTTTGTACGGGCAATGACTTCCCTCAAATCCAATAACGCACTGATGTAGTGACGAAAAGGTAGATCATCATCATGAGAAGAAGACATTGCACGAAGGGAGGGTGTCTTGGGCAGGGACGAAAAATAGAAAGATGTTTGAACATGTTAAATTGGACATCTGTCAAGTTAACATGTCAAAAAGTTCCAAGAGTTGACAACACATGTTGTTGTGATCACATGTCATGTAAACTCATGGAACAAAAATCGCAACACTAGTTGGGTGCTTCACATGAAGCTGGATCCATAAAGACATTGGTACGAAATATATGGCGTGTGCAGTCGTTCACCAAGATTCACTCTCAAGTGTTTCCCAGAAAAAAGGTGGCATCATGATTCTCATGAGATTTTCAGCTTATTTCTGTGTGCCACTTGGCTGCACACTTGTGACATAGGGAAACCTTGACAATCTTGATCTGAAACTGCGAACTTCTACCATGTCTTATGGATACTCTGAATGATACGACTAGTGCAAATGTCACAGCACAATCCGATCGCCGCAAGCTCTCTCTTTTTTCAAGTGGGGATTGCGTCGCTGAACTGGTCGCGCACTTACCCCAGGTTATGGCCACTCAGCCACATGGTCTCGAAACATATCCTCGTGCTTTCTAGTTCCTTCCATTCTGATATGCGGGTTCTGGAAAGGTGGTCAGAGGGATTGTATTGGCTAGGTCCTAGGCACCCTTTCCAACCAAACTTGACAGTTGTGGGTTTCCTCTATGAAGAAGATCCTATCCAGCATGCTGTCACTCGACATGTTCTGCGACCACATTTTCAGAAAACCACCTCTGACCACTTCGCTGTCCGTGAATGCTACCAGTCTATGATTGGAAAACTTGGGGCACCAGCTTAAAGGCAATGAGCAAGGCTAGCATTTCAAGCTCTTGGATAATGGTCACCTGACCATCCTTGTCAATCATTTGAACAAGGTCACTAGTGACTTCGTCGCTGAAGAAAACTAAAGCCTCGCCACTTTCGGCGTAGATAACTCCCCCAACTCCGCTGTACCCGCCAACTTCAAAAGATGCGTCCACATACAAATGCACATGCCCTGACAAGGGTCACAAGACTTTCTTAGGGGCGTTGTGCACCAGGATACTTTTTTATTAACTTCAAGGCATCGGTGGTCTCATCGCCCATGATCTTGCGTCCACTATGAATGTGTTTGGAGACTATGCGGGATGAGGTTTCGAATTTTTCTGCCGAACAGTTGCCCACTGGCAAAGAGCAGGCGACCCCTAAGTCTTTCCCCATCACTGCGTTTCAAGGTACCGGAGGAAAGGACGCTGTCAATGGCTTCACAGAGTTCAGTGACCCCGTCCAGGTGTTTGAAACCAAGGTTAACCCTTCGCCAGACATTTTGAAGTCGAGCTGGACACCCAAAACCTTGCACACTGTGTCGTATGGCAACAGCTTATCGCTGGATAGTTTCCACCTTCAAATGCTGAAGAGGGACGTGATTGTCAAGTCAGTGTGCTTGCTTGTGGCTTTGAACTCTTTCATCAACATACTAGAAAGGGAAAGATTGTCATGATCAAGACAAGCAGGTGCAAGGAGCTAGTTTTGGGTTCGTTTTTGGCACCTGAAACTGCGAGACGAAATTGGGGGCCCCCTTGAACACAGCACATCGAAGGTGTCACCAAGAAACTGTTCATTCCTCAATAAAACGAGCTGCGTGCAGACATTAACAAGATTTGTTTGGGGTTTGTGCATATGAAAATACAGCAGAAGGAAAAGGAAAAAAGCGTTGCAAACAAAAAGAACGGGTAAAGAACAGATGATCAAGACGTACGGGAAGCGAGGTGTGTGCAGATCCGCCTGCATGGAATTTCCCGGTGCAAGTATGCGACTCCAACTACATAACCTTAAAGCAAATCTAAATCATTGACATACTTGTCGCCAAATTTCACAAAGCCCATAATGCCACGCCACAGCCCACAGCATGACGCTTTCAAGACACCAGGACAAGCTTCTCCAAACTCCAGCCCAGAAAGCAGGTGCTGTTAGTCGCTGCTTGTGCAAAAGTGGCCCAGCATTTTTATTCCAAGCTTTTCAAACCGTGGTTGCAAACCCGTCAATACAGGGATCTAAAAAATATAGATACCCTGACTATTAGTACCATTAAATTGAAATACTTCGACAGAAACAAAAACGCAACGTCCTTCAAAAACAAACGCCTCAAATGATACCAAGGCGAACCAAAAGGAGCTGACAACTGACGACTTGTCTGAGAGCTGCCGCATGCAAAGAATCTTTTTTCAGCAAAGCTTTAGGTCGGATGGTTGGATCAATGCTTCCAGCACATACGATCAAAAAGACCTTTGAAGCGGGGAGTAAGGTAACACTGACGGACAGCCGACCAAATCCGATACACCACCGGACCAATAGAGATCGAGCGTAAGGGCCCAATTCCGGAATGGATCCCGTGTTCAATTGGAGATGAATCTGACAGCCCAATCACGAAGACCGAGCGGCCAACAACCTGCATGTTCGCAAGTCTGGTACTAGTGTCGTAGGTATGGGACCCACCCTAAACCCTCCCAAACGAAACACGGGTCTACGCTTTGCGTCACCTTTACAAATCTACGAAAACACGCAGTCCTAGTATCCATAAAGAAAAACTGAGGCTATCGCCACGGTATATGTATCACCAATATCTCAAACCTCGCGTTATATAAGTCGACCGACGAAACAACTGACATGTGCACAAAACGGAAAAACATGCCCAAAAGGTCTTCTGCTGTGCTCCACCGAAAATCAATACAAAACATTTCCAGTGGAAAACGCGCTCTCTTCTTTTTTCCTCCTTCAAATTTAAACACTGCAAAAAGGTGTTGGCTACAACGACCCATCTCATCTGTTCATCACTTGCCTTTGATTGGCATTTCCGAGTGAATGAACCCCCCGGGGTCTGGGTGGGTGGGCACTAAAATTTGCTCCACCACATTTGATCCGCTTAACACCGAAGCGATCAAATAAGTTCATGAATTGTTCAAGAAAAATAGGCACAACTGTACAAATAAAAAACACAATCACACCAATTGGAAATAAGAGCCGTATTTCCAAAAAGATTCACCGGATGATTTCAAACCGATTCCGTGAAACATCCACATGAAAGAACCCAATCAAAAACAAGGAAACTTGACCTACACCTTTGAGGCTAGGTTGCCAATTTGGTTTCCACAAGAAACCCTCGAAGTTCCCTTGTCATAACTTCCGAGTGTATCAGAAACAGGGTAACTTCCGAACCCTGGAAGGACACAGGACCGCGTAGCGCAATAACCCGCGTATGCCACCGGAGGGTAGACCAGACAGGTAGGCAAAAACCGGACCACGCGAGTCAAGACCGGACAACCGCCGCGTGTCACCTACTACCAAATACACAGTCGCAACAGGTCGCGAATGCGTACTAGTGTCGTAGGTATGGGACCCACCCTAAACCCTCCCAAACGAAACACGGGTCTACGCTTTGCGTCACCTTTACAAGTCTACGAAAACACGCAGTCCTAGTATCCATATAGAAAAACTGAGGCTATCGCCACGGTATATGTATCACCAATATCTCAAACCTCGCGTTATATAAGTCGACCGACGAAACAACTGACATGTGCACAAAACGGAAAAACATGCCCAAAAGGTCTTCTGCTGTGCTCCACCGAAAATCAATACAAAACATTTCCAGTGGAAAACGCGCTCTCTTCTTTTTTCCTCCTTCAAATTTAAACACTGCAAAAAGGTGTTGGCTACAACGACCCATCTCATCTGTTCATCACTTGCCTTTGATTGGCATTTCCGAGTGAATGAACCCCCCCGGCACCGAGGGACGGCCAATCACCACTTTTCAAGCTTCTGTCTTTTTGATTTTGGCAACTTCTTTGGGAGCACTCGTTTCGTCTGCTTTTCTTTCATCAGTTCAGAATGGGAGTCGCTCGCATGTTTCAAGAAAGTCTCCAGGACCAACCATTTCTCTCTCTTTGGATCCCATCTGACTCTCGGGAACCCCTCAAACTTTTCAAACTTGCCGTTGGTGAGGTCATCTGCTAACTGGTTAAAATCCCTTGCTATCCATTCCAAACTAAGCTCACACCGACCCAAACGCAAGGTCTCAGAAAACTCCATGATCAGCAACGTCAAAGGAAATTTTGTACTCATCCACTTCGACAAGGCATATGTGTTTGACTGGTTGTCAGTCTTCCCTCGCAAAAAACATGTAGCAGTGTTCTTTTGCCCTTCTCGTGGCGCCCACAACTTCACCGCCACAAGACTGGCTAAGAGTTCCAGTGAAGCAATGACCCGTTTTGGATCCCGTTTCAAAAAGATCCATGGCGCCCACTCTCTATCCACTTCTTCCGAGAACCACTCCACAATCTTCCCCTGGCTGTCTTGTCTGTAACCTCCAATCCAAGCCGAATGTTCTGTCGCCTTGGCATCCGTAAAAAACAACAGATGCTCTCCATCAAGTCTCCCCAGCGGTGGTGGGGTGTGTAGATCTCCACCCGCCTTGATCCTGTCCGCTAAGAAAAGAAGTATTGCTCTCAGCATGGCTGGGATTCTCAAGGTTCCACGCTTCCCCCGGACTGCAGCATTCCAACTATACAAGGGGGCCAAAAACGGCCGCTCCCACAATAAGGCAGATGCTGAAAAACCTAGTCTCCCCAGCCCCTGCTCAAATACTTTCTGCGTCACCTTACCAGAGGCCGCCAAGCTTCCAACCCAATTGCACATCCAAGCCGATCGTCGCGGTGACAATCCTAACCTGAAAGTGGCATAGTCCGTGTACAGGCCAATCCATTTACCTTCTGTCCTCCCCTTTGCTTGGCCCACTTGAAAGGAAAACCCAGCGCAGACAGGTACAAAAAACTCAAGACCAGTCCTTGCCTGCCTGAAGAATCTGCACCCAAACCTTCCAAATCATCTGCAAAAATCAAAAGCTCCACTGCTCGCTCCGGCCCCAACAATTCATGGACCAGACGGATCCCTGCACCTGAGATCCTCCCCCACCAGTAACTCGCACTGGCCACTCCAAAGGTTCCACAGTTGTTGACGTACAGGAAAGGATCAGTTTCCTTGACCCTACAAGCTAAAAGACCCCGCTCTGCAGGATCGTGAAGGAAGCGCCTGTGCGCCTTGCTAATGTCCCCTACCAGACTCACCAAAGCTTTCCTCCGCTCCTTGTAGTAAGACAAAAGGTATTGTTTTTCCCTCGCCCCAGGACTGCGTGTTTTGTCTCTGCACTTGATCCTGTGGTTAAGTTTTGTACCATGAGTCGCGTCATGGATGATTCTCCTTTTACCTGACTCCGCATCCTCCACCAGCACTGCCAATGAAGAGATTGCAACGCGGACCCCAAATCTACGCTTGGCCTCTTCCAACGACATCTTCTGCATAAGTCCTTTCGCACATTCCTGGTCAAAATGCTCCCTAACGAAATCTTCATGCTCTTGAACTGATTCATAGTTGTTTCTCCAAACTTCCCTCTGCATGAAGGGGTCTTCCTCCAACTTCCAAGCCGTCTGCTCCTCGTACATGTGAGGTGTGCGTGGCAAAGGCTTCAAGATACCTACCGGGTACCCCTCTTCTCCTTGTAAAAGAAAATCCCTGTCAGTGTCCTCGCACTTTACCAGTAACTCTCGCATGAGACGCAAGAAGAAAGGTTGCCCCTCAGCAACCTTGTCCAAGTGCTCTTCCTCGCAACCGTGCTCCTGTAGGAGCCTTATCCAAAGTTTACGCAAGCACTGCTTGAGCTCCTCATTTTTCACCAAAGAACAACCAGCTTCCCCTTTGACCGCCATCTCAAAACAAGTCCTGTCCAGGTTAGTCCCTGGAGGCAAATGCTCACATACCAGTTGCACTGTCTTTTCCCTGAGAATCTTCCAAAAAATGTTCTGTGACCAAATACGTTTCTCCACATCCCAGCGCCCCATCGAAGCCAAACCTGCTCCATCATGAAAAGCCCTTGATTTCCCCGGGGTATGACAGAATCTCGGTTCTCCCATACCTCCCACCAGCTTTCTGCCTTCGGGCTTTGAAACTGGAAAAACAACATTGTCCAGTTTGTCTCCAGCCCCCTCGGTTGCAGTGACAATGGTGGTTTCTTCCTGGGATGTTTTTTGCAGAAAACTTCCCAATATCTCTCCAGCAATCCATTTGCACATTTCTGATGGCCACTGCTCTGTGCCTGTAGTCTGAAAGTGTCCGGCAGAAAAACCAATGAGCTGTTTCGCCGCTGCTCGTTGTTGCAATGGTCCCAGGTAGTATCCCTGGTCATCAAAAAATGGTTTCCCCTGCAGAAAAAATGAGGGCAATTTTCCAAACTTGCAGAGTAAAAGTCTTGTCGGTTTGAGGTACTCTGTCCCAAAATCCTGTTGGTAAAAAGCCGCTGTTGTGATGCCCTCCTTTTTTAACAATATGTCAAAGTCCAGCCACTGCCACATGCTGGAAGGTCTGTTGCCCTGGTTCTCTCCAGACTTCACTGCTCCCAAGTCTTCTGGGTTCTCAAAAAGTGCCAATCCCTCTGTATCTGCCTGTGCAGCAAAAGCAAGAAATGAAAAATCCGCCAACACATTTCCCCAATCAGCTCTCTTTCTTTCTGACCAAGTTAGCCGTTTGAAACCTCGTGGAAAAACAAATGACCTCACAGGTCGAGGTCCTTTTCTGTTCGCCCAAGTCGCCCGAGAAAACGTGCTGCACGGCGGGCTGAGCAAAACTGCGTCATATTGGCCAGTTGAAATTTTGTTTAACAAATATTCCCTGACTTTTGGCAGCGTAACATCCAGGTACGGTCGCACCTGGATATCCACCATCTCCACTTGCACCGTCACTCCAAGTCTCCTTGAGAGTTTTCGCAACCAGGCTGCTATTGAATTCTTCCTAGGCTTACCGGAGAAAAGATATAATACTCGACAAACTGATTTGCCAGAAGTCTGTCCGCCACTCCTCTCCTGTCGAGAGCCTTGTCAGTGACCGGTCGTATCCGGTGCCTTTGTATCCTTGCAATTCATCGCGTTGTGGCCTTTCTTGAAACACTTGTTGCACAGGTGCGCAAACTTGCATCCCTTGTGAGTGCACTTGCCCGCATTGAAGCGGAAACATATCTTTTGACCATCGGGAGCCACTGCTGCCCCCTTTGTTGAGCTCTTGCCCTTCCCTTTTCCTTCCTTTCCTTTTGTCTTCCCCTTTCCTTTGGGGTTCCAGTCTTGCTGCGGGTAAGATCTCTTGCTGTAAAGGGCCAAGGGCGTGATGAAATATCTTTCTTTCGTCACTGGACACTTCCAAGCCTGTTCCATCGCCGCTCCCAACTTCAGTTTGTCAGTGAGCATCAACTGATAAGCTTTCTTCCGTATCGCCTGCTCATATGATAAAACCAGGCTCCACGGTGGAGTTTGTATTTGTTGTCCATTCAAATCAGTCGCTGACAAACCAGAGAAAAAATCACCCAAGATATAATCTTTGTAACGGTCAAAGAGCTCCTTGGATATGTCCTGAATTTCCTCCCTGTTGGTGTGCTTCAAAGCTAGCATAATCAAAGCATTCTGCATAACCGACAGTCTCCTACGCAACTGTTCCGGTCCAGACGGCAACGCCACTGTCGTCGCACCTTTCTTCACCGTCAAGCTGCCCTTCGAGTCAAAAACTGGAACCAAGACGTCTGGATCCACCTCGTCTTTGGATACCACCTCGGCTAATGTCTCAGCCCTGAACTCGCCATTCTCCAACTCCTGCAGTTTCTTCTCCAAGAATTCCTTGGACGGCGTCACCTTGTCCTCCAAACGTCCATGTATCTCCATGAAGGCATTGCGTAGACTTATATAGTCTCCAGTCGGGATAGGTTTGGTCCATTCCCTGGTATCCATCTCTGCCTCCACTTCCGCCTGACGTTTCATCTTCGTCTGGGCTTCTTTCCATGCACACATCACAGAAGCCACTTGCGCTCTCTGTTCCAAACCTGCAGTCGCATCAACCCCAAAGGAGTCTCGCAGCACATCCACCAAGTCCGCTTCGGACCGGAAAAATGACGAAAATTTTTGCACTGTCGTCACTTTGTTAGTAAAGAAGGCAGCCTGCACATCATTGGACACATCGTTTCTATTCAGTGTGAAGCGCAAGTCAGTGCTTCCCAACTTCAGGGCATCCTCCACTGAGATAGGTGCCACTGCCATCGCTCGATCACAACGCGTTGACAAAAGCAAGTTGACCCGCTTTCCAGGAAATCTGATTCCTACAAAAAACCTCCAAGTTTTCATCAAGACATTTGAAGGTCTTGCCCTGAACTCGGAGTCCAGACAACTACCAAACTCGCCCTAGATTTCCTAACAAACATTTGCAGCTTCAAAACTTGAAATCGGAAAACAGAGATGAGGAAAAGTATGGGAAACACCGACGACCTGTTTTCCCGTTTATTTCAATATATTGTCCCTTTGAGCCACCCGAGGATCTGCGGATCCATCTGCTCACTTTATTCCCTATCTTCAACTCCGGCTTGTCTCAAGCATTTCTTTTCCGTTCCTCGAACTCTGACGCAAAAAGAAAACTGCCTGCTCTCATGAATGAAAAAAGTTTGACTGCCTTCCGGGAGTCTCTTCTCTTTCCGGCTCCAAGCAAAAAACGATCTCTTGTTGCAAAAATTCCGGCAACAAAGCATCTCAATACTCACCCCTTTCTTCCTGGCTGTGTCTAATCCGAGCTCCACGCTGTGAAACTAACATGCTGCGCATCTTACGCAGTGCTAGTACTTTTCCGTTTGGTTTGGGACTTTGGGGGGCGACTTTTTGACCTATTTTTGGAGCCCCTTTTTTGGGCTAAAAGTCGCCCCTTTTTAACCCCCAAAGCAGTACCAAACCAACGGGAAAATTACCACGCAGTGCAGGTTTCCGGTTGCCATGTTTAACATGCAATCTCTGTGACACGAACCCGACAGAAAAACAAAAAGGTCCCTCATGACTACGTTGCACCTGGATGCACACTGAAATAGACTCCAAAGAAACCATGTCCGTCTAAACAGTCCGTCTCCAAATGCAACTGTCCTTCCCCGCATTTGGGTTTCCTCCAAAGTGGAAGCACCAGGAAAACCACAGCATCCAAGGTTGCAATTTGCCCCAAAACTTAAAACAATCAAATTGACAAGCAAGTACAATCTTAGGTTTCCGGCGTCGCTTTCAACGTCCCTAAGTTCCTGTGGCCTCCATTTCCATTTTCCACATCTAACATGCTTGAAGGACCTTTGAAATTTAAACGGGTGAAAACTGCCAGATGCTGCTATTCTGCATTCCTAACTGCCACGGCAAATGTGTGTGTCCAGCTATCTACACTGATTCAATCACTACTTTCTGAAGAAGAACTCTGAGAGTTTGACGACGATGTTGATGAGCTCGATGAACTCGACTCCTCCAGGTTCTCAAAAGATTTTGGCCAGCACACCTTGCAAACGTGCGAAAGATTTTGGCCAGCACACCTTGCAAACGTGCGTGAAGCGACTTTTGTCTGGCATCTCCATAAACTCTTCAGATGACTTGAAAACCATTTCTCTACCCATCCAGCATCCTCCCTTCACTTTGTGCAACCGCTTGCAACGGCTATTAACCGCCACTACTATGTAAGTCGCATCTCGAGCTTCTCTCATTTCTCTCTCAGGTTCTGTCTCTGCTGCTATCACCCTAGCGGCCTCTGAGTTTTCAACATTACTTGAATTTTCGCCATCCATAGCTTCTCAAAGACCCTGTGGTTCCCAACGCATTGAGTCCTCCAACCACTGGACGGCCGCTCTGATGTCAGGATCACTCCAAACATCTACTCTGTCAGTCAGCCATGAAATCGCTGATTCCAGAATCTCCTGTTCATCCAAAATACGAAAACGACTTTTGTCTCTAGCTGCCTTTGCAAACTGCTGCTGCAACTTTGTCACTACCCCGCTATACATACGTATGTAAGTGTCAGACCCATCAGGTTTCCAGCGTCCTAGCAAATCACGCTCTTCCTTAGGAACGCGTAATAGTGCCAATCCTGTCGGCAAGGTTGCACGCTCTGAATGTTCAGTCCAAAAAGTTGACAGTATTGGATCCATTTGCTGCTGATCAGTTCCAAGGCGTTTCAAACCCTTTCGCAGTCGTGCAGAGTATGACACCACATCATTGTATGAGGCCATCACCTTCCGAAAGCCTCCCAGGTCTGCTGTCAACTTCGGAAGTAGATAACCCCTCCGGAAATCCGCACCTTCCCTCAGCAAATCAAAACCTGTCTTCAACCAAAATGGTGAGGCAATGTAAGCAAATTCTGAAATGCACAGGGGAAGCTCTTGGACCCGTTTAGTGGGGCCTGTAGTCTTTGTTACCCTCAAAATTGCTGTCAATCGGTTCCCTGAATAACGCAACTCGCTCGGCGAGATCTTCTGCACATCGTCCCACCTCAGGGTTCCCCAAGATTTCACAAGTTTGATCCAGGCCACTACACGCAACCCAACTACCAGCGTCTGGTCCTCCACAGCCTCTTCCAATGCCTCCAGCATTGCTGCCGGATACCTCGGAGCCCTTTTCAAGGGTGGTGCATCTTTTGAAAGCATCTCTACAATGTAGTCCCTGACAGAAGCGACCACCTGGGATGAGCCCACCTGTTCATCCCTCCGTACGCATGCAGTCTTCTCCATCCACGTGACTGCCTTCACTATCAGAACTAGCTGGCACAGTTGGTCCACATGGCTCATCATACCTGCAGAATAAATATTCCACTAAATCTCCAGCTGTACCTGCCCTGTAGAAGCCCTTAACCGCTTCCATCCATTGCAACCATAGTTTCCAGGTCTTGACATACCTCTTCAACGTCGAGGCACGTGTCCTACCTGCTAAGGCAAGGTGCAAATGTTTTGCACTGACACAATGCTCTAACTCTCCAAGTGCAGGGGCATCCATTTTCTTAAGCTCCAAGTACAATTCCTTAGCCCAACGGTCCTTCGTTTCCGTCTCCTTCTGGGCACGGGCTTGAGCCTCGTCTGGATCCAGAAACCGCTGTCTCTCCGGTCTCTGTGAAGGAAAAAGTTGAGTCGAAGCCGCTGCTGTATCACTACCTGAAGGCTTTCCAGAACCTATCAGCGCTTTCTTATCTTGCAGAATCTGTGCATGCAGTGGATCAAGAATGTGATCCCCTCGAAGCCGCTTGTTCAAAGGCTCATCTCTTCTGGCATCCCTGATCCAAATTTCCATATGTTGTACAAAAACAGCCTCGCAAATAATACCCAGTTCTGCACACACTTGACTTGCAATATCTGTAGCATCATTCTCAGTGAAAACTGCAAGCTTCTTCCCAACCAATCCCTTTTGTTCCAAAACCTGCCAGAGCCGCCGGAGCCTCTGCTCTAAATCACCGTCCAGATCCATGAGCCTTCCTAGAAGGCTGGGCTAGCCGAAACCCCTACACTAAAATTTGCTCCACCACATTTGATCCGCTTAACACCGAAGCGATCAAATAAGTTCATGAATTGTTCAAGAAAAATAGGCACAACTGTACAAATAAAAAACACAATCACACCAATTGGAAATAAGAGCCGTATTTCCAAAAAGATTCACCGGATGATTTCAAACCGATTCCGTGAAACATCCACATGAAAGAACCCAATCAAAAACAAGGAAAGTTGACCTACACCTTTGAGGCTAGGTTGCCAATTTGGTTTCCACAAGAAACCCCCGAAGTTCCCTTGTCATAACTTCCGAGTGTATCAGAAACAGGGTAACTTCCGAACCCTGGAAGGACACAGGACCGCGTAGCGCAATAACCCGCGTATGCCACCGGAGGGTAGACCAGACAGGTAAGCAAAAACCGGACCACGCGAGTCAAGACCGGACAACCGCCGCCTGTCACCTACTACCAAATACACAGTCGCAACAGGTCGCGAATGCGAGAAAACTGGCACAGCCTCTGATAAAGACATCAGGGAGTTGATCAATCAGAACTACTTTGTGCAGCTAATGAAGAGCGTCCAACGGTACGAAGCTGACAGCGCAGCGGCAGAAGCAAGCACAGCATTTGCGCGCACGGTGACCGGGTCGCCTTGCAGCAGGCCTCACGGAGCACGGATGGGACGAGAAGAGACAGCATCTCCAAAGCAGACCCACCGCGAATGATTGGCCCATTGAGCAGCCAGCAACGTGCACATCTGAGACGGTGAGAGTGAAAACGGGGCGGGTCAAACAAAGATTCCTCAATAAACTGATTGAGGATCACACCTAGCCCACCACTTGAGACACAAATGTCACGAGATGACATAGAATCAAAGCAGACCCAACTGAATGTTTCAAAGTGAAGTGCTCTTGAGTGAGTTTTCAAAACACCTTTGCAGAAAGAGAAACACGGATATTGAAAAGTATCAAACAGTTAAACAGAACAAACTGACGTTTCCTTCAACAATTTTTGTGTTAGCTTGAAATAAGGCAATCATCTTCTTCGAAGAGCGCTAGCTTATTCCAAGCAAACCGTGCTTGCAAACCCGGGATCTTTAAAATCCAGATACCTGACTAGTAGTACCATTGAATTGAAATACTTCGACAGAAACAAAAACACCACATCCTTCAAAAGACAAACGCCTCAAAATGATAAAAAGGCGAACCAAAAGGAGCTGACAACTGACGACTTGTCTGATAGCTGCCGCATGCAAAGGATCGTTTTTCAGCAAAGCTTTGGGGTAAATATCTCGGATGGTTTTTTTTTCCGTCCATCGCCTCTTGGCTTTCGCCAGGTCGATCATAGTGCATGAAACGAATTAATTGCAACAATTGGGTCGTGATACAAATGCCTTCACGGCGCATCAATGAACCCAACCGTAATGCTGGCATAGGGACCGGCTACACAGTCCTGGATGGTAGTCACAATGCCGAAAACCACAACACAGAACAAGACAAAAAGCAAAAACAGAAAAAAACAACACGCCAAACAACAAACAAAACACACAAAACGCAAAACCGGCATTGTGGACAGGGCCAGCTCAGTCGGAGAAAAGTGATGTCTTATGCATCATCGCAGAGTCATCAGTATGGCGTGAAATAAACAATCAAAAGCACAGCAAAGAAACAAAGACATCGCCATACAGAAAGACATGTGAAGGAAGCAACAAAACTCTGAGCGGAAACCAGGGCTCCCCCAGCCAGGAGCCCCGAAATCACCCAGGGTAAGCCGCACGGGCATAACGAATCACATGTCTGAAACATTCCTGAAGACTAGCAGTGACACAGTCACGTAGTCAATAG